TTATTCAAATTGCACCAAGATTGTCTGAGAATAGAATTGCATCTCCCTCCCACCTTTACCTTCCTGTCACTTGACCTTCTCTCCTCCCCCCAACTCCCACAAAAAAATGCAGAAACGAGGTCTTTGCAATGGTATCAGCTTGGGTTTCAGTTCAAACTCTACTATGGAGGTTGGATTTCACTGAGAGGGACCAGCATCTAAAAAGCTGCAATGTCCCACACTTAGCCCAGGGTTTGCAATACAGAGCTTCACACGAGAGGCTCTTGGTTTCTTGGGAAAAACCAAGAAAAAGGCATGTCTTAATCTTTCCTCAACCCTTCCTTTTGGCTTCACTCAGGTTTACAGTAGGATGTCCCTATCATTTGTTACCTCCAGGCTAAAAACTAAAGTGCTTTTTTTTTTTTTTTTTTCCCAGATAACCGTGCAAGTGTCATGTTAACATCACAGTTTCTGTATTTTTCCTTCTGATGACAGCAGGTTTCTTCCTTACTGGCAGCATTTATACCCCCTGTTTTTGCATCCCAAAGATGCCTTGGACAGAAAACTGAGAAATCCATTCGAGACTGGCTCTTTCCAGACCTTTCTCAACATGCAGACACATGTATTTTGCACAGATTTCAGAATCTGCCAACCAACTTTCTCTTCCCATCACCACTTGCAACAACAAGGTGATGGTCACTTATTCTCATGTGATTTTATTCATATCCCAGAGAAGTTCAGTTGCTTGTATTTTAGAATGCAGCTAATTGACAACAACCCATGGAAACAAGGGCAAAAGGAAACACACATAATACAAGGACTGATTGAATAAAGTCTGACAGACACAGTGATCTACAAGTGGCCATAAGTTTGATAACAACTAAATAGAATCAGAAGCATCAGTATTGACATCTTAGGTAATCTAGGTGGATGTGAAAATTATCAAAGCCCAAGATGCTGATAGGATCCCAGGCTCTCAAAATCACAGAAAAAGAGGTTTCCTGTTAGAGAAGTGGAGGACATACACAATCTCCTTAGCTATATGGCTACATTCACAAACACTTATAATCTTTTCCCAAATTCAGGGATACAATCTATCACACTTTCTCTCCAAAGATGATATCTATTGCAATCTTACCAGCTGAAGGTAAAACATACTGAAAAGGGGGCTTAGGGCAGTACCACCTGCAGTGACTCTCAGACAATAGAGCTGCTTAAAGAGGCTGGGAGCGACATGGAGACCACCAAAGTGGACCTCAAACTTCTCCTCCCATGTGATGGCCATGGAATCTTGCAAGGGCCTGCTTCTGCAGCGCCAGGTCATTCTACCTTCTGAACCTTCCGCTCTCAACATGAGAAGCAGAGCCTATACACACTGTCTCCAGGGCACTGCTGTGCTTTATAGTCCACAATACATCACATAACAAAGATGCAAAGTTATTTAGAGGAGCTGGAAATTTAGAAAAACAAAAGCCCAACTACCAGCCTAAACTGACAGATGTAATTGGTTTCTATAAAAGCAAAGAACATTATTAAGGAGAATAAATAAAGGAATCAAAGTCAATTGCATGGTAAAAAAAGAGGCTGCTATAATTCAGTAGCAAAAATTGTTCAAACAAGCCCAGATCCATGTAAATAATCAGGCTGATTTTTCCAACTGGCAACCTCCTCCCTTATAATGTCTCCCTTTGAGGCAGGTATCAAAACCACTATGATATTTAACCACAAAGCGGGGATGAAGCTCACAGGACAATTGCATCCCTGGGGAAAACCGTCCTCCTACAGCTGGATCTGTGTCCATACAACCTATGTAACACTTGGGCCTCTTCAGCTGAGTACACTTCCCATATTGCAAAAGGCCATAAACTGCTCTATCAGCTGCCACCTTAGCAATATTCAGGGCTAAATCCAGCAATATATGTAGGCACACCACATACAACATGTCCTGGTGCTGAGGCTCCCTGTATAGGTTCCTCAATCAAGGGATCCACAAACACTGTGAAAGATGTGTCCAAAAGAATCTCCTGAAATGGCAACTGAACCACGCACTTTTTTCTGCCCCAGATCCTAGACAAAATACTGAAGCAAAACACCTTCCAATATGCTTCAAGGGACCTCAGGAGGCTTCTCCTTTGCTACAAGGGTCCCCTGGTTATGGTTACTTCATGTTATGGTTACAGTTATTTCATGTCACCGGGAACTTGCACCTAAATAAAACTGTAAAATGGGCAGGAGTCTTTGAAGGTCTTTCATAGGCAAGTGCTCTACCAGCCTAACAAAGAAAAGGACATAAGAAGTACCTCTGCCTGTAATCAGTTTAAAAAAACCCACCCAGTAGATACAACACCAGGGAGCCCATAGCTGTTCGTGTTGTTTTGGTGTGCTCTGTTAATGCTGTGCATGGCACTTCGGAGTAGCTCTTTATTCAGCTTCTTGTCATCTGAAAAAGAGAATACTTCAGTACATTTTTAATGAATTTTCTGTAGTTTGAAATTAAATTTTCTCAGTTCAGAAAGTAAAAAAATCTCCACAGAGCAAACAGAAAAAGTTGCATAGGAAACAGCCAAAACTGTAATAAATACCAGTGAGTATGCTTGGACACATTCCCCATCGTAGAATGCCTTTGGCATCTTCTCCCAATAGCTTCTCCAACGAGATTTCTTTCATACCATCCTTCCGGGCAGTAGAGTAACTCCTGTCCAAAGACACTAAAGCCAGCTCAGCAATACAGACAAGTCTCCTACTCCTCTTAAATACTACCCTTCAGCACCACTTTCCAACAAAATTGAAACATAAGTCTTTGATATATTAAATAATTTTAGTTGTCTTAATCGTGTCAACTCCTGCCTTTATCTTCCCTCACCTAAAAACCTCAGGTTGTGACCAGTTTCTTCCCGCTCTCACACTGGGACTACCCTTCACCCCACCTCTTGAATTTCTCCTCCAGCCTCACTCAGCTGTGCTCTCTGCCAGGGTGAAGTCAATACAGCTGTGGGTCCCTGCCTGTCATCCTGACAGGACACTTGCTGGCATGAGCTATGAAAAGCCACGTGGGTTACATCCAGCCTGTTCCCAGGCGTTCCTTCACTTATACCTGCAGCTGTCATCTGGTTTGGTTTCTCAGACTAAACCAGATGACCATTACTCTTACCATCTCAGATGATCTAAGAGGCTGATTTGGTTTTATCCATTCCAGGTCAGAGCTTGCTCAGTAGATGAACAGTGATACTTAACTTTTGAAATCAGGACTTTTCATTCAAATAATGCCATACTTACCCATGGCTTCTCCAAGGCCATTCCAACAGAGCATCCCAGAACACATCTGTGAGGCTGAGCCCTGCAGAAAGGAAGGAGGAAAAGGGCAGAGGAGACAGGCAGACAAAGAGCTGGAACCTGACTTCTCCAACCAAGTCCTCCTCAGTCGTGCTTTTTCTCTTATGAGAAGTACTAAGCGCTACTTATAACAGGAGAATATTTTAATGGGAGTTGAGAGCACCCATTCCCAGCTCAATCTCAGCTTTTTCACAGGCCCACAGAGAGACCACTCACACAGCAAACCCAGGCTCAATTCTCTTCTTCGGCTCAGACTGAAGATAAACCTACAGCAGAGGTTTCACGCTCCTAACTACCAGGAACTACTAGTGCTCTCAAGAAACACTAATCACACTCAAGCCTTGCACCCCAAGAGATATGAATAACGAATTTAGCAGGTACTTTACACCAGCCCAGAGTGAAGTCCCTAATGGCTTTCAGCTTGCAGAGTGACTCCCTCTTATGCCACCAGCAGACAGAGCACTGACTTGCACAACACCCGATCCCAGCACCTGCTGAAGTCAATGGCAACTTTCCTCAGGTGCCAAACAGGCCTCACTCCCTGCCTAATCAATATGAGTGCCGTTAATAAGATGTGGGGGTTGCATCATGCCACGCATCATTAAGCCAAAGAGGCACCACATCTGACTAATTTGTGCATCAAGCTTAAAAAGTACACCCACAGAAACCAGGAGAAAGGGATGTAGAGTCTCCCTAATCTACGAACTAGCTGTGGTTGTCAAACACAGCAGATTTCTTGGCGTCAACATCCGTGCCTGAAGCAAGCAGCAATTACAGCACTTCGCAGCGCTGTAAGCCATCCTGACAGCTCACATCTCAGCCTGCAAAAAGATTTGATGGTCCTGGCCACACTTTAGCAAAAAGAAATGAGGGTGCCCCACTCCCTGTCTTGCACAGGCCACCGCACATACTGAAATGATTTCTCCATACATCTCTCTCTACACGTATTTATTGCTAGGTATTTTTCGTCCTTACTGAAACACAATTTTTGCAAGTTTATGCCTATTAATCCATGGATTTTTTTTTACCAGGCCCAAGCACAGAATATTAGAAAATCACTTCAGGTCACGTAATGAAGTAGAGCAGCCGAGAGCTGGCTTGTTGGCAGGTAAGGCAAGGAGTAGGTGCTGTTACATTACCTTAAGGGAATTAAAAAAAAAAAAAAAAAAATAATAAAGTGGGCACTGTCAGTATGTGTGCTATTTTTTTTCTGCTGTTGTGAGAGAGGCAAGGTAATTTATTTAGCTTTTAGCTTGTTAACATTGTGAGACACATCTTGACAACAATACATCAGGAGACTGGTGTGCCACCTTATTAAGGGAAATAAAAAAAAAAAAAAAAAGATAATAAAGTGGGCACTGTCAGTATGTGTGCTATTTTTTTTCTGCTGTTGTGAGAGAGGCAAGGTAATTTATTTAGCTTTTAGCTTGTTAACATTGTGAGACACATCTTGACAACAATACATCAGGAGACTGGTGTGCCACCTTAATAAATTATACAACAGATTATCATTCATCATATTGCTGTTGAAACCCATCCCTTTATCTGTTCGTATATAAAGCATCAGGTTGACTGAATAATTTAGCTAACATCAATGTTCCAGCAATAACTGCAGGAGGATCCATATCAAAGAAGTTTACTACACTCCTTCCTTTTCCTGCTTCAGGCCACAATTAGAAAGACAACTGTTTAAGAACTCTCACAATTGTATTTTATTTGACATCAGCAATATACACTGGAGTATAATAGGAACAATTTTTTGCACAATTTTTCTTGCAAGATGGATTTATTTTCCAAATACATAGATGTTCATAATACAGGAAGGTAACAGTTAAGCTGCACAATAGCAAAACAAATTGACAGCTATCAAACCACCTTTTAAGTTTGTTAGTATAGTCAGGTGACCAGCATTGAATATATGCATTCAAATAATTTAGTTAACCTCTGATTCTTCCAATCTTCCCAGCCACATTGTTCCATGCAACAAAAATGTGCACGAAGAATAGTGTAAAAGAATTCAACTCCAAGGCTTCCCTTGCTTTGATTTCCTTTCAGTTTTTCCCCATGTATGAGTCAATACAAAGGGATAAACATCAGAATTTGGCATGGCACAGAAACTCTTGCAACATGCATCTAGGACAGTCACATATTGCAGAAGTAGTGAGTTACTGACAGAGAAGTTAGGGGATTTAGGACTTTCCTAAGAGGGTGTTAAAGAAGCATTTCTACTATGCTGCTTTAGTGTGTATTTTCTGCATGCCACAGCTTTTACAGAAAACAAAGATAAAAATACTTCAGAAAGCTTCGTAATTTTCACCGGGATTCCTCCTTTACAACGTCAAAACTTAAACCCAAATGCTTTGGTTGCAATGGACAGGGCTTCACAGGAAAAGAAAAGCTTACAATTAATTAAGATACCAATGAATACCATCTTCTTCCTTTTTACATTTTTCAGCTTAAAAATGGCACACAGCTATAGCAGCTGCTGCATGCCACGTAGAAATTCCCCTTTTCTTTTGGTTCCTCGGGTGGTACAGCTATTACACTTTGAATTAACACAGAAGTTAGCATCTCCCCAGCCTGCCTCTCTGACCAGTGCGAGCTGAGGGAGCGAGAGGAAGGATGTTCCACATCATTTGTCAGATGGACTGATTGTAACAGCTCACAGAAGCACCTCAGCAATTTGGAATATCAGAACTGGCAGGTTTGGCACAGGGACGGTAGGTAAAGGTGAGGAGAAACGCAGAAACTCGAGGCAACTAGTAGATGCCTTACTTACTTATTACCAGCAAGTGAATACTTTGTCTGCCGCCAGGCTTTTAACATAATGTCACTGCTCTGGATATTTGCCAGCAATACAACGTTCTTCACATACTTTGGAGTCAAATGGTCCTTGCCACAGCAGCAGAGAGCACGAGCGGGCTGGCAGTGCTAGAGCTCACCCAGAAAAATCTTACAAACCAGAAAACCGCTTGTCTGCTCGACAGCTGACTCGTAATTTGAGCATCCGAAGTGATTTATGCCACTGCACTAACACTGGATCTCGAAACACACACAGTGATCTTTAAAGACCACTGTGTCAGTACTCCCAACGCAGCACCTCGATGCTCCACCCTTGGGTTTAATCTGGGCACGCACCCTCTCCCTGCCCGGGCTCTGCCATCCCTCCTGGTGATGCTCAGCGCAGAGATCCCACAGCCAAGGGGAAGGTGTGTGGAACCCACACCGTCCCAGCAGCTGCCACCCCCCCAGCTCAGCCCTAAGGCGAGGGAGCAAAGCCAGGGACAGGTCCAGAATGAATCAAAACGGTGCAAAAGTAGCAGGACACGCTAAAGCGGGTTTTAAATTGTACACTAGGGGGGTTTTAAATAGCTAATGAGCAGCTCTTCAGCCTAATTCAACTCTCACGTCCTACCTCAGCAAAATGCCTAATGGTCTCCAGCTTCAGCTGTTCCTACCCAGAACTGAGATACTTTCTCCCACTAACAGACTGCTCCACCAGGACTAAGTTTAGACCTACGAGACCACACTCAGCAAGGCCGGCACTGACTGAGTGCCCTCCTGACTGGACTGATGAACTGAAGCTAAAAATTCCTAAGCCTTATTGGAAAAGGCATTGCCTTCTGCACTTCCCCCAGGGCACAGCAATAGGAAAACCTGGAAGCCTATAGGGAGGCTGTTAACTCACGTAATTAGTAAGATCAATTGATAGCATGCAGATCAGAGGTGGTCTTTTCTTTTACTCTCATATTTTCTCTTACCTGAGTTCACTGTATTTATGCATATGGCGTCCAGATAGGAAGTGAGAAGTAGCCTCTTTAAATTGCTCTACAAAATTCTTCCACTTTCTCTTTATATATGATCTTTACATTCTCCGAAGAAAAAAAAAATACAATCCATGTGTTTATGAAATGGCTAGTGCATGGCTATGCATCTTTCCCACCATAACAGGTATTAACTAGCTTAACAGAAAAAATAACAAGTACATTCATTGTGTTTCACCTTCCTAAGTGAAATGGATACAGACAAAATTCACATTTTCAGTACAGAGAAAATATTTTGATAAACTACAGCTTGTTTAAAAAGTTGTAACTAAATACTCTCCAAATGAGAGATTTTATTTGAAAACAGGAGCTGTCTTTTTCATTACCCTAGAGATTCTCCTGAAGTTAGCTTAGGACTGTTTGCTACCTTCCCAAAGTTTGCAACAGGGGTTGTGATTTCCATGTGTGCAAGTGAGGAAACCTCTTTTAAAAATAAAATAAAATAAATAAAACTAGAAAAAAAAAAGCTTGATTTTTTTCTTCATAAATACACAACAAAACAGAGAAATAAGCATCAGAGAGAAACACCTTTGTTTAAGCTATGTTAGAAGTGACAGGGGCATAATAACTATACTCACAAAAAAACAGAGATGCAATTCTGCTTCTGGGAAAACCCACGAACTGCTGGGAAGTGCTTCAGGAGCAGAGTCTGCATGGCTGGACACATTTTACGACTGCAGGGCAACCGCAATCACCGCAGAGACGGCGGGTGCTCAGCAGGCAGCAGCACGAAGCATGCCTTTCCATTACCCTACACACACTTGTCGCTCCCACCTCTCCCCGCATCAGCACATTTAGCAGATGTGCAAGAAGACAAGACAAGACAACCCACCTTGATCCTCCTTTGGGCTGCTCGGTGCTGTTACCATGAATATCAGCAGTGCTGAGCTGAAGGAGGAGTTTTCTTCAGCTTCACCCTGCCCTATTTTGCACTCCAAGAAACCATTTTCCATCCCACCCCCAGTGCTCCGAGGGGCCCGAAGCCCCCCGGTAGAGCTGGGATGCACAGCACCGAGGAGGCCTCCCAGCTGGCAGCAGCTGTGAGCTCACATCTTCCCAGTGTTATAGCCACAGCATCAGAAACCTTAGAGCAGATTAACTGTGCTGATCCTCGGGCAGGACTCGCAGTCGGTGTTGAATTCCACATCATGCTCAGCTGGTGCCCAAGCTGCCTACTCGGAAAGGAGTTCAGGGGGCATTTTCATAAGTGGCTGAATCCAATGTAAGAGCTGCACTGTCTCACCCTCCTTCCACCCCTCTACTTCCAACCAGAGAATCCTACCTTCTCCCACATGAGCAGCACAACAGCTCTCAGGCAGCCAAAAGATGCTACAAAAGATGGTACAAAAGCATCTTTGCCTCTCATGGGGTCCACCCCATGGGAGTGCTAAGGCTGGGGATAAACATTTTTGGCCACTTCTACTTTAAATGCAGCCCCAGCCCACAAGCCATAGCACTAACTGGATTATCAGAAACGCTCTCCACTAGAAAGCTCCCATAAATTCAGGTACCAGGAATGAAGACTTCAGATTTAGTAGGAAGGTATGACACTTCCAGAAGAACTTTTTTCTTGTGCTTTTTTTTTTTTTTCTTCCCCTCTCTCTTTCTATAACTGAACTAAATCAGAGGCAGCAATCTCTATATTCAGTCTCTTAAACGTAAAGCAAGGTAAATGCCAAAGGTCCTGAAGTGCTTCATTACTGAAAAATAAATATATGGAGTCCCAGAAAAAATAAAAACAAAACTGTTGCTGTTTACAATTTTGGTTGAGAAATGCTCTAAGACAGAGGGAACCAGTAATACTTAATAAAACTCAGTCCTTTTCCCTTACTATGCTGTCTCCTAATTCTTCCTGACTGATGACAAAAATACCCTTTTTTAATGAAAACAACTTCAATGGAACAGAAATGTTTCTAAGAGGACATTAGCAACTTATTTTCTTTATTACTTTCTCATTATACTTATAATGAAGAAATAATTATTTCTAGGCTGTTTCCTGCCAGATGCTGTTCTAGTACCTCTAATAGGACACATCTTAAAATAACTGCTTGGTAGCAAGAAACTAAATATTTCATCCTTACTCATGTTTTCCCTTCTCCTCCTTTGCTCTCTCTTAAATAACTTTATTGATTTGGGCTCTTTCATAAATTTTGACCTGCTTATAGTTTTTTTCTCCATTATTTGTCATTGATGTAATTCCCAAAATCACCTCTGTGGAGGAAAAAATGACTATGGAAGGCACCTGAGGTTCAAAAAAGCCTGTGAGCACCTCTGTTTTAATGCCAGTGGAGGCAGCATGAAGATCCTCAGGCTGTGGTTTCACACCAGCTTTAACCCAGCTCAAAAGATCAGTCCCAGCCTCCTCACCACCTCCTTTGTACCAGCACTAAGACCAGGAGCCAGATCAGAGAACTACTGGCTACCAGCCAGCCAAAAGACGGAAAGACAAATTGCTTTTTAGCTAGACAAGTTATTTCAGCCAGCTCACCATGGCCAGGCAAAGCAGGACACCAAGGAAGAAGGTGGGAGTGCTACATTCAGCAGTAATACAGTTTTACAGTGGAGTAATCATGGTCTTAAAAAAAAAAAAAACAAACCAAAAACATGGATTCTGCTTGTGGTCTGTCGGGAGCAGCGTGCTTAAGAGATTGGCAGGACATAAACCAGCCCCAATCCAGAAGCCTTTTAGAGCAAACAGGTCCTGCGTCCTGTCCTGCCTAATATACTTCATTAGCCCTTCAAACATGGGTTAAATATTCAAGGCCAGGATTTTGCACAAGTGGATTCATTTCCAGCGTGAACGTGCTGGTGGTATTGATCTGCAAAGCCACACATCTATGAAACAAAATGATATTATCATGTCATCTCAAATGCCTCAAATCTCCACTGCTCGCCTGGTGCCAGAGAATGTTGCCACAAATTAATAAAAAATGAAATGCATGTACATACAGAATCATCTATTTATGTAAAATATGTCATTATTCATTTGACGACCCAGGACAGTCTAGCAGAACAGGAGATTTTCAAGCTTGCAAATGTAAAGCAGACTGTGAAGTTACTGCTAGCAATAAGGTTAACTACCTGATACTTTGAAAGCACTTTGAAGAAATACTTGTACATGTTCTGGACTTCTGAGTCCTCCATCCCTGAGCACCTATACTTACCATGGAGATGAGCCACTGGCACAAGATGATAAGGCAAGACAAAGCACTACTTGACTGAATTTTGTAATGCATCGAGCTCAGAAGTCCTGCTGAGTGCTTCATACTGTCACCTGCGTCTTCTACCAACTTCAAGTTACATTTTTTCCAAGGATAAATACATTTTCACAAAGAATGATTATTTCTTTAAATGCTTCTTTATGCCATGAGATCATCCGTAGAGTGCCATGTCAGTTAACAGCAACGTGGATGCAACATTCACAAAACCACACAGCAAAATTTGAAGATCAACAACAGCAGGACCACCAGCAGAAAATAACCCAGATGTCTGTCCTAGTTGAAGGTCAATTTAGTAGTATAGTATTTTCCTCATGATTTTTTTTTCTTGAAAATTGAGATATGAAGATAATAACTAAAAAAATACCTCACACTGTGCTTTCCATCCAGAAAGGTACTCTTTGAAAACAAGACTGCTTAAAGTGTGTCTTGAGTCTGCCTCCCTTACAATTCAGGGAATTCATGTTATTTTAATGTAGTTTATATATATATATATGTATGGAGATAGATATAAATACATAATCCAGGCTGTGATCACGTTAGTAATTTGAAATTTTAAATGCTAAAACTATGCTATTATTTAAAACGAGCATTCAATAATTGATGGGAGCTTGGATGGTTTTCTAAAAAGGGAATCTCCAAGGCTTTTTATTTTTGCTGCTGTTATTTTTATTTTAAAGGAGCCAACACACTCTCAGTTTCTCTTGCACAAGAAAGTGAAAATAGAACTATGACCAAAAAAAAGGTAATGAACCTCAGTGGGTAGTAACTGGTTTGCTTTGAAGTCCTGTCTATTGGAATAATGTAAAAAGCATAAGAAAGTCTAAGAGATAGCTGTAGATGCACTAAGTTACAGACTAGAAGTCAATGCTAGTCAATTCTCAAATAAATACCTACATTTTCTAATTCATGGGAAAACAAAGTATATTTCACAAATTCTACCAATTTTACAATAATTGCATTTTTCATTTTCTCCAGTTAAGAACACAGTACGTAACATTAGCAAAGAGAGATGTTTTCAGAGTGCTCTATACTTCACACTACTCTCACTTGCTCGGGATGCAGTAAAAAACTTTCTTGTAGAGTCTGATTTACTCAGAATGCGTTGAAACTGCCCATGATCCTCATATTCTCAAAAAAAAAAAAGCTACATCTTGACTCTGAGGAGAGACCTACAAATGAAGACTGTACAAATTAATGCATATCAGACTCTTCCAAAATGGTGCATTTTTTTCTTCAAGTAAACGTCCTGTTTAAAGGGCACTGAAGTCAATGAAAAACACATACTGATTTCAATGGATACCAGCACAGGTCTTCACAACAATATAAATATAGGTAACTTACCTTGGAGTCACACAGTAAAGGAAATTTAAGGTCTTGACAAAAAATTATAATTGGGGAGAAAAGATGTTATTGGTTTTTTGCCAGCTGTCTGTATTGCAATTCACACCAGTGTCAGCCACAACACTCACCAGTCAAGTCCTACTGGCAAGTCCCAGGAAAAACTCACCGAAACTTCTTTCCTCCAAAATCTTTTGGGTCAAGCAAAAGTTATGGAGCCCAGTGTGCAAAGTTGCTGATCTACCATGCCAGATCTCTTGGAAGCTTTTGGGATTTTGGGGAAGAGTGTGCTACAGCAGAAACTGTGCTCCAGCCTCTCCCACTGAGAAAGATTCTCCTAGGAATTCCCCTAGGGGAAAATGTCCCAGGTGGACAATA